TAGTGCCAAACCCTTGTACTATGTTCTTTCATACTCCTCCCTCCACCACCCACTTCATAGTCCTAGACCTTAAAGATGCCTTTTTTACCATACCCCCTAAACCCTGATTGTCTGGATTCCTTTGTATTTATGCAGACTGACCCAGACACTCTCAGGTCTCAACAACGTACTCACACCTGTCATCTCTATGTTAGAACCTCTACTCAGGGACTCATTCCAACCCCTTCCTTTCCTACTCATCAATTTCATGGACCCACCCCTGGTCAGGACTGGCAGGTAAATTTTACACACATGCCCCACCACTAAACTTTCAAATATCTTCTTACCTTTGTCTGTACTTTTTCAGGATGGACAAAAGCCTTTCCCACAACCAGGGATACTGCTGATACAGTTACTAAAGTCCCATTATAAGAACCCATCCTTAGTTCATAATTCCAAGGTCTGGTCCACCTCAGAGTATCCAGCCAGAGTATCCAGTCCAGCCCTTATTTCCCAGATCCCTCAACAGGACTACAACCAAAATGGAGTGGCCCTTACCTGGTCTTCCTTGGAATTTCAATGGCAGTCAAGGACACTGGACTGCCATCCTGGTTCCACATCACTCAAGCTAAGCGGTGCCCTCCTAAGTCCCCTGATTCTCAACATCCTCAGTGGTCATCTCACGTCCTGTCTCCCATCTCCACCTCACCAAGGCCCCACAACTACAATTTTCAGGCTATCATGTTTTGTTATCCTATTTACTTCCTGATCCCTTACATTCTATTAGTTAATTTTTTCACTACAAGATTCTGAGCAGTCTTTCCTAAAGACTCCCACATTATACATAAAATTGTTTTCTTGCTGTTCTACACAACAATTATCTTCGTTCTTTCCATCCTCCGCTGTTTAGTTAAACATGAGATCCCTGTAGGTCTAAGATCTTGTCTCGCTTATAGTGACACAGCCACAGCCCTCCCCATCCTTAGTTTATAATTTTCCAAACATGATTAAACTGTCAGGCCTTACATTTCTCATGCTTCCCATTCTTTCCAGCTCAATCCTTGAACCAATGGCACCTCTCGTGACTTCATCCCTCCCAACTCCACGCTTATTTTTCAGATTCTTCCTCAACATGGCCCTGATGGAACGACACATTGGGATCAAGGGCACTTTTCCTTCTACCTTTCCTGGGTCCTTTAATTATGATAGTGACCTACCTCCTCATAGCACCTTGTCTTTTTATTTCTCTAATCTAAGATGTGAGCATTTACCAACAAGAAATTCCTTGCCCAAACTGGAACACCTGGTACAGCTTCTATATGAGCATCAACTATCATCCTGTCAACCCCATATACCCAAACACAATTCCCCTGTCCAACAAAAAATAGGAAGACACAGTCTTTGCTCTTTTCCTAACAATACAAAGATGGGAATGAAAGGTTCTTGGCCCAGGATAAATTACTGTACAATTATGGCGGTGGTCTAACATGGTGGAAGGCCAAAGCAGTAATGCTTACCACTTCCTCCACCTTCTTCTTTAGCCGTAATTGCAACTCCTTTCCAGTCAGGTTCCTCACACATCATTAATACCTGCCCCATGCACCACTTCTGATCAGAGGTCATGTAACCCTCTGCCTGTTTGTATCCAGTTGAAGGAGACAGCCCAAGTGCCATGGGCTGCTGCTTTCCATGTTCTCAAAAGACCTGTTCTTATCTGTTTGTACTTTTTGCTTCTCTATGGCACCAGAATGCTCTAACACGATGCAAACTCTATGAACTAAAACTCTACAAAGGCAGAGATTTCCGTGTGCTTTGCTCCTTGCTGAATCATCAGTTTCCAATTCCTGAGACACAGACAGTGCTGAATGCATAGTTGTGGATTTGAATACATGAAGGCAGAAGCTAAGGTTGTAAAAGTTTTTGGAATCAAAAGGAAATCATTTTTACAAACTTTTATAAAGATAAATAAATAGCAATGGATTGGAGACTATGAAGGAGATGATTCTGTGGGTGTATGGCTGATAACAAAACTATTCACAAAGGACTCTGCCAGAACCACAGCTTTTCACAAAGGTTACCACAACCTTAGCACCAAGAATACTTGGCAAGGGTGTGTGTCCTGTGATTGTCCAACCCTTTACCGCTTAGCAGCCTTGTTACTAATCCTCAGGGCCCCGAGATTGCACTTTCACAAAAACTTAGATAATTGTCATTTTCCTTTAGAAACTTCCCCTTACCCCAATATCTTCAATACATTTACATATACTCCTGGTTTATGACAGCACGTGTCTCCTCTTTGCAAATTTCTGCTATTCCCAAATAAACCTGTTATTCTTAGAATACTTCTCCATACGTTATTCAGAAAGATTAGGTGTTGTATATTTAACTGATAAAGTGACTGAACAAGTCCAGTTGTTGCAGCACTTCCAAAGCCTTATTTAGGACTCCATTTCTTTCCTCTCTACTCTGCTCCCCTCTCTTCTTTCTCCTTCCCCTCTCTCTCCTCCATCTTTGAAATTGTCCTTTCAACCAGCAATTGTGGGAATGACCAAGCACTGTTTCTAATTGTGTGAGAATCTATATCCACTGTTGAAAGGTGTCAGGCACATTTTGTTGGAGCTGCTTCTAGAACTCCAATTTTAAAAGGGATTTTTTTTTCAAAATTCCACAACCTCCTATATAAGAAAAATTACTAGTTTATGAACAGCCAAAACATACAGCCTGCATCTGATTAGAAAAGCATTTTAAGATAGGTCACAAGCAGCTTCATTTTAAATAAGTTGAACTCTCACTGGTATGATCTCTCCTTTAAAAGTAAAGGCTGACCTGAGCAGGCTCCTCATTGAGGCTAACTGACAGGGAGTAAACAAGAATGAAAATGTAAGGCCACTCTGGAATGGTAGAAGAATGAAAGGGAAATGTGGGAACCACAAAAGGAGGCAATCTAATGATAACTTTTCTTGAGGAAGTGTATTTTGTAGCATGCAACTTTTTACTACACTACCATTAATCAAATGTCAAAGAATGCAGACATTTTCACATACCCAGCCTAGGATACATGGAAACTTACCACTGAAAAATAAAGAGTAAAAGAAGAGGAAAACAGTGAGTCTACTTTAGGAGGAGAGGAAGAGGATGTCTGGGAATGATAGTCTCCAGCACAACTAGATGGTTATCAGCTTAGCTGGGGCAAAAGATGGAGGCTCTTGGAGGAAACCTCTCAGGGAAAAAAGCACATTTGATGAAATATGTAATACAGTCAATTCTAAATCTGTCTGATAAGACAGATGCACAAATAAAGGAAAGCAATTAGAAACTGTAGGGAACCAAAAAATAATATTTAAAGAAGAAAACACAAACACAGTACATTAAATTGCTCCATCTAAATGGTATTATTTACTAACAATGTAATTTTAGAAGTCTTCAAGGGGAAAAATAAAGATACGATCATGGTTATAACCAAATAGAGTATAAATGCTATACATCTTTTAAAAGTAAGGGAAAGGGGACAGGAAGACAGCCAAAGGGGATTACAGATACTGATAGCAACATCTTACAAAGCAGGAAGCAAAAAGAGGCTGTGCTTGATGATGAAACTACAGGTGTGATGATATTAAGCTCAAAAGACAACTCGTGAAACCAAGCCAGGTGTAGTGGAAGATCTATAATTCTCCTACGCAGGAGGCTGAGTCAGGAGGATCACCTGAGTTGCAGGCCAGCTGAACCACACAGTAAGACTCTCAAAAAGCCAAGAGGGAAGACAGAGGAAGAGAAAGACAGACAGAAAGAGACAGAGACAGAGAGACAGACAGAAAGAGCACTATGGAGAAACTGACAATATTAATTATATTTGGAAAATGAAGACTATGATCTAAGATAATGAGCTAGAAGTGATTATTCATGGAGGTCATCATGATTGGGCCTGAGAGAAAGTAACATAAAAGAGCTTTTCAATGACAAGTTTCTTGCTGTTATTCAACATTCTTAAAACAATGTACAGTATTCTTTTAATAGAAATAAATTCAAGCACAGGGAGAGAATCCATTTGTGGTTTAGTCAGATCCTAAGTACATGCATAGAAACTGATTTGTCCCGTTAGAAAAGTCTAAGTCTCTGCTGTCTTGTAACTATTAAGTTCCCTTTTCTTAAGTCACTGGTGAAGGAAGGAATTGTGCTTATTACCTTATTTTCTGAAAAGATACAGCCATAGATTATTCAAATGACTTCTTATACCTAAAAGGAAATGAGGTAGGTAAAGATAAGAAAATAGAGATGTATGTTTTGCAACTCTTACTTCAAAATCAATGAGCTACAGTGACTTAGTGACTCATAGGCTCTTTCAGTGCTGATGACAGTTTAGAAGTTAACCAAGAAAATTACAGAGCTAATATTCTTTGCTTTCTCTCAATTTCAAGATGTTTAGCAGCTGCAGTTGCACATTATTAGGCAGAAATGTTTAAGGCAAACATCTGGGATTCATTATGTCAATTGTTGCTCTTTAAAAAGGGTATTCTTTATTTAAAATACTAACCTTCTTTTAGAGACTTTGCAGAAGAAATGAACATTCCCCCTGGCCTATTCACTGCCAGCAGCCATTTCAAAGTTTCAGCCTGCTCTAGAAAATTGCAAAGGAATTCCCTTCCTCCATCCTAAGAGTCTCTATTTCATATGCAAGGGTGGTCCCCAGGGTGAGCAGCCTCTCCTGGATCTCAAACACACTTCCAGATGTGAGCCCCCAAGGTAGACAAACAGATCCAGGCTTCCAGCCCCATTCCAGATGGCAGCCTCTAGAAAGGTAAGTGCGGCAGAGACCTATTCCAGATGTGGGCCGCAGAGCAGGGAATAAACTGAAACATGTTCTCTCCACGTATAATCCCTAAGCAAGACCCTCCTTACTGTCTCCAACAACACTCTGCCTTGTCGTAAAGAAACAAGTCTCCATAGAACAAAGTCTGACGTTTCTGTCTCTCACCAATTCTCTTTATTTTCTATTCTCAGTCTAAAAAGATGAGGTTCCTCACCTGGGTCAAGGCGCTTATCTCTGGACATGCTTTGGGGATTAGGTTATTATAAAGGTCTAGGGTCTTCAGGCCAGGCAGTTTTGCTAATGTTGAAGGCATCTTTGTCATCTTCTTCCCATTCAAAGTAACAATCTTAGTGTTTTTACCACCCTTCAGCGCTCCTATTAACAGTCTCTCAGCCATGATCTTAAAGAAGTAACCTGAAGGAGAGTTCTTTATTATTCATCTTTAGAACCTCTCTGCAGAATAGATGTGTCATGGTAACAAAAACATTCTGAGCTCCACCATGCTGAAGGCAGGAGGCATTAGGTTTCTATGCAAAAGCTAAGAAGGGAAAAATAGCAGATCAAGGTTTGTAGCAGGAAATATACAAGCCAAGTTTTGAATATTTTATGCGAGAGATATGGAAGTTATCAAAGACTAATGAGATTACATCAAAAGGACACAGAAGCCAACTCCTGGGAGCGCCCGCTCCCAGATGTAACTGAGGATCAGAAACAAAATATTCGAGACTAGAGTGAAATACATCAAAGCATACTAAAGTCTAAGAGTTCATAATGGTGCTTTTTTTTTTTTTAACAAATGAATAACTCTTGCACCAGACTTGCCAGGGCATCAACACTGAAAATTAATAAAGAAGTAGTATTAAACATTGATTCTCTCATAGAACAAACTGAATTTTAGAATAGTCTCATAGTTAACAAATATCTTATTTACACAGGAATTAAAGCCACCATTGGAAGAAGGCAAAATAGCCTTACAAAATTTACTATTTCTGTAAATTCTAAAGAATAGCAGAACTTTGCAAAAATCATAATTGGTTGCTGAAAGTGTTAGTTGAAAGGCTGATATGGAACTTTGTAAGGAAAGGATCAAATTAATAACTCACTAATGAGTTTTAGCCATTACTAAAACCTAGACAATCCCAAGATAAGCCTTATGAAATGGTGCAATAAAAAGTACACATTATCACATAAAATGTTCTTGCCTAAAAATTGAATGTGAATCTCATACTTTATTGAAAGTATGAGAAGCAGATAGCAATTTAAAATCCTCAAGAAAGAATTTGGTCAAATCTAGAGCAGAAAATTCTTTAAAGCAAATGACATAAGTTTCACCAGCAAATCACTGGCATTAATAAAAAGAGAAATGAATGCTATAAAGAAAATTAACTTAAGACAAATAAAAGCCAGATGTGATCTTTGGGCCTGGATTGAATCCTTATTTGAATGAGAATATCTTGGGAGTCAATCAGGGAAATGTATTTTTGAACTAGATATTAGATAATAGGAATTATAATTTTGTTATTTGGTATGATAGTAACAGTTTGTATGTACTTAATATTTAGAGACGCATACTAAAATTTTCAGGTAAAATAAGATGATATCTTCTCAAAGAGTCTGGTAACACAAAAGTGAGAGGCACAGGGATGAAAGGCTGGTGATTCATTGGTCGGCAGGATACCAAAGGCCAACAGTAACACTCCAAGGCAGAAATTCAGTTAGGTCACCAAATGTGCCTGAATGGGGAATGCACCATGGAAGGCAGCGCCATGGATTAAGTGTTCCCCCGACATCCAACACGCCTGGGACCATGCCAGATCCATGCAGCAGAACCTGGCAGAGATAAAGTTAGCCTTAGACCTCAACAAAGGGGTTCCCCTCCATCAAAGAAAGATGTAAAGGTCATGGAGGTAGACATGGAGTACAGGCCCAAGGAGTTTTTGTAGAAGCACTATATTCTAAATGACCTCGAGGCAGAAGCCAAGCTTCTAGAAAAAGAAACACCTTGCCCCAGGACCTTATTGGCTGCATACACTACCACATGGTAGCAAACATGGAGAGGATTACAAGGGCATGGGCTGGCATGAGAATAATGACTATCCACATTCCCCAGTCAGGCATGGTGGAACAGGCACCCAGGAAGGCTGAGGTAGAAGGATTGCTGTGAGTCTGATGTCAGCCTGGGTACAACCTCCACAGTAAAACCCTGTCCTGTCTCAAAAAAACCAAAAAAAAAAAAAAAAAAATCCCCAAAACAGATTTGGAGTAAAAACAAGGTCCTACATATTTTCACCCAGTAGAATGGCAGGCCTTCAATTCTCTGCAGAATAAGATGGACGCTGAATGACTGGATTACATTCGCCCTGGGCTGCAGCCTCTTCCTAGACCCAGGTTTAAAGCAAGGAAAGTGTGTGATCACACACACACACACACACACACCCTTTCTGGGAAAGAACAAGCTCTGAAGCACCCATTACTAATTTTCTTTTGGGGATTTTTTTTTTCCTTCTTAGTATTGAACTCAGGACACCATACATGCTAGGCAAGGACCTCCACCCCTAAGCTATATCCCCAGTCTTCCAATTTATGTATTCTTTTGAAGGTTCATAGAAAAGCCAGAAACTTGCTATTTCCCAAGCAAGTACTTTTCTCTCTTTTTCTTTTTTTTTTTTTTTTTTTTTGTGGGCGGGCAGGGTCTTGCTGTGTAGTTCAGGCTGGCTTTGAACTGTAGCCCAGACTGGCCTCAAACTCACAGCTATTACGTCTCAGCCTCCTGGGTGCTGGGATTACAGGCATGCATCAGCACAACAGGCTAAGAATGGGTACTTTACTTGAATGTAGTCTATACCTAATGAAGTCAAGGATATTTTATTTCGAGAAAAAAATAATTCCTTATGTTTTCTTTTAAATACAGGAGAAAAAGCAGGACAAGGGGGAGAGTAAGATCAAAGAACACTGACAAAATGCTGATAATTACTGATGTCCAATAATAGATACACAGGAATTCATTATGCCAGTCTTGGAATTTCTGTGTATGTTTGGAAAGACAAAAAGAAGCAGGAGCTATAGACAGTGATGCAGCATTTGATTATTATATGAACCTCATTGGTAGATACAAGGGGGCTCAGAGGCATCGAGGTTAGATATATATGTGTGCCGTCTTCCTAGTTCCTAATTTGCCACATTTAGTTAGCAAATTTCCAAAAACTTCAACATTATGAAATATTTTCCACCCTGAGCAAGTTCTGAATCCAAGTCAATCCTTCCAACAGAGGAGCAAATGTAAAAGACTGCTTTCAAGAAAATTACATGCTAATAGAAGTAATCAAGATAAACATGTAAGTCTAAAATGTTAAATGACTAAGGCAACCAGAGAGAGAGAGAGAGAGAGAAAGAGAGAGAGAGAGAGAGAGAGAGAGAGAGAAAGAAAAAGAGAAAAGAGCAGGTAATGGAAATAGAAATTGTGAGTAGTGAGTCTATAATTTTAAATAGGGTCAAGCATGGAAGGTTCCATTTAGAGGGCACTCTTGACCTTTTCCAATAAAAAAGTAAAGCAAAGGACCAGAATTCCTAAAGAGGAACATGAAATTTATACAGCTAAACATCAAACATCAGTATCCTAAACATCAGTAGAATAAGAAGTATTGATTAATAATGGCCTCCAGTTGCTGGAAAGATAAAACAATTTTCAGCTATTTAATCACTGAACCTTGCTTTATCTCTTCCAAACTTACCATTAAACCTTAGTTTTACAAGACTTATGTTGTTACTTGCTAAACAAAATGACCGTAAGGCTTTGTTTTTTAACAGTCCCGTGACACTCACCACCTTTAAAGTAACTGTTGTGCAGCTAACACTCAGCTGACACTAACTAAACACTGTCAACTGCCCAAAACCAGGGAGAGGCCTCTATAACCTGATTCTCTGTTTATTTGCTAACCCTAGAAAACTGGCTGAACTTTCTTGATTTCCTCTTCTTTCTTACTGACAAAGTACAATTAATACTACTAATACCACCCATTCCAGTTATCTATTGCTGGGAAGCAAACTACTGTACAATTAAAAGATTAAAGCAACTTTTCTTTTATTCACAAACATTAATAGGGGCAGAGAGTATGTATGTTCCCTTTTGGAAGCTCAAAGGCTAGGGAGGAAATCTCTGAAAGGCTCACAAACCACATTTGGTGGTACATGGTGCTGGTTGCAACTTCAGGTAGGCAACCCCCTCAATGCCTTGAGCCTCCTCCCAGCACGGCAGCTTGGTTCAGAGGGTTAGCATCCCAAGTCAGAAGGTGAATGAAATGGAAGCTGTTACGACTTCCATAACCTAGCTTCAAAAATCATGCAGCAGCACTTCTGCCATAATGTTTTGATTAGAAGAGTCACTAAGGCCAGCCCAGAGTCAAAGGGAGACAAATTCAAATCTGCCTCTTGATAGCAAATAACAACAACAAAAAACATAGTGGGTATGTTTTAACATCCAAAACCTGCCTTGTAGCAATGAGCTATTTATATTCCTCCTACATGCAAAATAGGGCATATTCTCTGAAGAAACTCCCTCTTTCCTAAAAGTTTCATCTATCCAGAGCATCAGAGATTTTGTCATAAAAACTAGTGCAAAGTAGCTGCAGCTCTTGGGAGGAAGGCCCATGTATCTGGTTCTAGTATAATTCTTCTTGATCTGAAGACCTGTGAACAAAAGAGACAAATCTGTCCCCGCATTTGCATAACACACCAGTGGATGAAACGTAGGGTAAGCAGACAGTTCCATCAGGTAGGCAGGGCAGTCCTTTTGAGTCACTGGTTCATAGCGATTTTTAAGTCAAGCTAGGCCTGTGTTGCCAGTTCCTCAGTCAGGGTTCAGTCCTGGTCCTGTAGCCTTCGATCAGCTCATTACTCCCCGCTTTGGGCTCTTGAGTTTACCCTCTGAGTTTCTTTTCTGTCCAATAAACTATAGCCCACATTTGCCAAGCAATTTTCACAGACTGATTCTTGTTCAAAAAAGTTTAAGAGTTCAAAAGCTTCTCTTTATAGCTTCTTTTTTGGTAATAGCTTAAGATATACTTATGATATCACACAACCATTCATTTAAAACGCGCTATTCAATAGTTTTCACCAAATTGTATATCTATCACTAAAATCAATTTGAAAATGATTTTACCACCATCAAAAAGAAAGCCTCCAGCGTTTAGCAATCATTCTTCAGTCCTCTCATTCACTCCAATCCTAAGCAATTACTCATCTGATTTTTATCTCTATAGATCTGCCTATTCTGGGTACTTTAGATGGAATCGTACATGTGGCTTCTTGTACATAGAATGTTTTCAAGGCCCATCCATGTTACAGCACATACCAGCACTTCATTTTTTGCTGTTGTCAAGTACTATTCCATTGTATGGC